TCATAGCCACCCCAATACCTGGGACTCCAGGTGTCCACGACAAAGCCTGGGTATTTTAGAGACGGGGTCTTGCTCTTACTCCAGCTGGTCTTGAACTCCTAAGCTCAAGCAATCACCTGCTTTGGGCTCCCAGAGTGCTGGGATTACAGGTGTGAGCCACTGTGCCCAGCCACTAGACTTTTCTTTATGTCATTACAAAGCAGCTATGAGTTGTATTTGAAGAACAGAACCTGGTGTGGCACCTGTTTTCATTCAACCCTGCAGTTTATGAGTCTATTACACTTGGATGAATAAAAACGTTAAAGAACAAACAAGTGAAAAGGCAAGCATGCAGACAGCTAGCCTACACAGCCAGACCATCAAAGGGACATTTCCACCCAGTCACTGACTTTCTGATTAGTTTGGAGAGACGCTTCCTGTTGAAAGGAGGGATGTTTTTCCTGTTGGTTATTTCCAGGAGTCGGTCAGCAACAGCTTTATAGTCAAACTATGCAAAAAGAGAAATGAAATGTAAGTCTGCAGCAAAAATAAGCTGCCTGACTTAGACACTCACACGACAAGAGAAAACCTCCTGGGATGGGCTTGTGGCAGCATTTTGGAAACAGCAGGTATAAATGAGCAGGTGTTAAGACCTGGCAGCCATACGTCTCAGAGCTAACTCTGAAATAGTCATGTGCTGTTTATTCTTGGGAGAAGCTAAGTTAAGTAATTTTTGCTTTTTGTTTTTCTTCTTAAAATTGTAGTGGAATACACATACCAAAATTTACCTGGGTATACTTTTCTAGTTAATCTAGATTTTCCAATCATTGACTTGGTACAACAGTCAACTTTTTGTTTGAAAAGTGCCTGGCTCTATTGTGGGGAACAGAACAGATCCTGGCAATTCAAAATGAAGACTATTATCTTTGAAAATTCCATCATATTTGTCTCCAACAAGCTCATTCTAAGGAAGGTGACATTAGTGACTGAAGGGATTAGACAGGACTTTGCCCCTCAGTCCACACAGCTTAGTTGTGACCCTAATTCTCTGTCTAGGCCACCCCAAAGCAAATCCACATCCTATAAAAAGCAATAACCACCACCCACCTGGAGAAGGGGCCCAGTGTCCTCCAAGGCTCTGCAGTCATTTCTTCCTTTTTCATCACCGAGTCCATCTTTTCTGGAGTGACACTTCCCCAGTGCTGTGAAAACACATCCACAGACAAATTCTTTTTTTTTTTCTTTTTTAAGAGACAGAGTCTCACTTTATTGCCTTTGGTAGAGTACTGTGGCATCACAGCTCACAGCAACCTCCAACTTCTGTGCTTAGGTGATTCTCTTGCCTCAGCCTCCTGAGTAGCTGGCACTACAGGTGCCCGCCACAATGCCCAGCTATTTTTTGTTGCAGTTTGGCCGGGGCTGGGTTCAAACCTGCCACCCTCAGTATATGGGGCCGGCGCCCTACCCACTGAGCCACAGGCGCCGCACCCCATAGACAAATTCTTGACACAGCAGACATACGGCAGTAATCCCTTCCAAAGAAGCCACTGTCTAAATGGGTGTCTCTTAGTTAAAAGGAAAATTTTTTTTTTTTTTTTTTTTGAGACAGAGCCTCAAGCTGTCCCCCTGGGTAGAGTGCTGTGGCATGACAGCTCACAGCAACCTCCAACTCCTGGGCTCAAGCGAGTCTCCTGCCTCCGCCTCCCAAGTAGCTGGGACCACAGGCGCCCGCCACAACGCCCGGCTATTTTTTGGTTGCAGCCGTCATTGTTGTTTGGCGGGTCCGGGCTGGGGATTCGAACCCGCCACCTTAGGTGTACGTGGCTGGCGCCTTAGCCGGTTGAGCTATAGGCGTCGAGCCAAAAGGAAAATTTCTTTAAGAAAAACCTGGCAAATACTAGTTTCTGAGAATGAAGGCAAGTCTTGGAGAGAAGGTACATTTTGCTTTTTCTGTTCATAATGACATCACACAGAAGGCCAGAGAACATGTTGCCACCTGTGCTGTTTCTCTGTTGCACAGTCCTCATGAGAAGGCTGCAGCCAGGGGATCAGGAAGCTCTTGAATTTAGGGACTCAGGCAAGTGGACCAAGGCCACTGTATCATTCTAGACCAGGCGTCTTCAAACTACGGCCTGTGGGCTACATGCAGTCCGCCTAGGACATTTATCCGGCCCGCAGGGTGTTTTTGTCACCGCTGCCTGTCCTGCTTAAAAGCCGACTTGTCCCGGGGCCCATAGTCTGGCCCTCCAATGGTCTGAGGGACAGTGAACTGGCCCCATTTAAAAAGTTTGAGGACTTCTGTTCTAGACGTTAGGAGAAGAATGATCCAGGAGTATGTCCCTAGTTTTAAGTCATTCCAGGGACCACAGTAAAAAATCTCCTACGCTCACTTTTTAGAAGGCTGAAATGTAAATTAATATTATTGCAACTTTAAGTATTCAAAAAGTAATTTAGGCTCGGCGCCTGTGGCTCAAGTGGCTATGGCGCCAGCCCCCTACACCTGAGTTGGTGGGTTCGAATCCAGCCCCCAGGCCTGCCAAACAACAATGACGGCTGCAACCAAAAAAAGGAAAAAAAAAAAGCTGGGTGTTGTGGTGGGCGCCTGTGGTCCCAACTACTTGGGAGGCAGAGGCAGGAGAATTGCTTGAGCCCAGGAGTTCGAGGTTGCTGTGAGCTGTGATGCCACTTCACTCTACCCAGGGTGATGGCTTGAGGCTGTCTTGGAGGGGAAAAAAAAAAAAATTCAGGCAGGCATAGTGCTTCGTGCCTACAGTCCTACTCCTTTGAGAGGCCGAGGCAGGAGGATTGGTTATGGCCTAGAGTTTGAGGCTGCAGTGAGCTAAGATTGTGCCATTGCACTCCAGCCTGGGCCACAGAGTAAGACCCTGGCTCTAAAATAAATAAATCAAAGAGCCTTAAAGCCTATGAAGGAGCAGATAAAAATGACTGAGAACTCAAAGGTTTTTCAAATGTGTGCTGTTTTTGGAACACTCTGTACTTGCCAGTGCTGTGGTATCAGGCCTGGTCTGTGGGAGACACAGCCAGACCAATGCCGTGCAGGTGTGTGTAGGTGTTTAATAGTCAAGAGGGAGAGAAAGTCTGCAACTATACAGGGAAGGGAGCTAGACAGTGTTTACAGTTTTTTTTTTTTTCTGTGAGACAGAGTCTCAAGCTTTTGGCCTGGGTAGAGTGCCATGGAGTTAGAGCTCACAGCAAACTCAAACTCTTGGAGTCAAGCAGTCAACTCCTGCCTCATTTTTTTTTTTTCTTTCTATTTTTAGTAGAGATGGGGTCTCACTTTTGCTAGGTTGGTTTTGAACTCGTGAGCTCAAGCAATCCACTTTCCTCAGCCTCCCAGAGTGTTGGGATAACAGGCAAGAGCCACTGTGCCCAGTCATGTTGTTTTTGTTTTTTGAGACAGCATCTCACTATGTTGCCCAGGCTGGACTTGTATTGTTAGACTCAAGCGATCCAGTCTCCTGTCCCAGCCACCATCATATCTGGCTGAGATTGTATCTAGTTTATTTTTTAATTTTTCATTTTCTTGGAGATAGGTTCTCACACTGATGCCCAGGTTGGAGTGCAGTGGTGCCATTACAGCTCAGCACAGCCTGAATCCTGGGTGTAAGTGATCCTCCTGCCTCAGCCTCCCAAGTAGCCACAACTTAGGCATGCATCACCCACTCCTGGTTAATTTTTCTATTTTTTTTTTTTTTTGCAACATGGTCTTGCTATTGTCCAGGCTGGTCTCCAACCCCTGGCCTCAAGTGATCCTCCTGCCGTGGCTTCCCAAGGTATCGGAATTACGGGTTGTGCTGTTGTGTGTGGTCCATGTCTAGTTCAGACTGACAGAACTGTGGGGAGCAGGGAGATCCTGAAGACTACTGCTCCCACGCCTGTATACAATTTGCTCATCTATGCTGAATTGAAAATTAAAATTATTTTTTTCCCTTTTTTTTTTTTTTTTTGAGACAAGGTCTCACATTGTTGTCCCTGGTAGAGTGCCATGGTATCATAGTTCACAGCAACCTCAAACTCTTGGGCTTAAGTGATTCTCTTGCTTCAGCCTCCCAAGTAGGTGGCACTACAGGCGCCTGCACAACGCCCAGCTGTTTTTACAGATGGGGTCTCACTCTGTCTTGGGCTAGTCTTGAACTCGGGAGCTCAGGCAATCTACCCACCTTGGCCTCCCAGAGAGCTAGGATTACAGGCGTGACCCACC